AGCCGAGGGAAGGCAGGGCGAGGTGCACCTGTGGGGCCCGGTTAGGGATTTCAGCTGCCTCTGAGGCCTGGGCTTCCCTTGAATTATCATTTGCAGGTGGCTAGGTGCCCGGGGTAAGATTTTCATCTGACAGGTGAGGCTTATCTCCCAGAGCTGGAGAATTGACTCTACAATTGACCAGGATGTTTTACCTTTGATGGTGTCCCCTGGCAGTCTGAGTCCCGGCTCAGGGGGCAGGGGTGGCATTGTTGCTCCCAGCCAAGCCTCTGGTCCTTTTAGTCATGAACTCACATGGAGCCTCAAACCCAAACAACAAGGGGAACACTGTGCAGTGGGGCTGGGGAGCAGGCGACTCCAGAGTCAGACCTGATTTGAGTATCGACTCTGCCACTGAGCAGCTGTGTCTCCCTGACCAGCCTAATTAACCCCTCTGATCTTCCATTTCCCCATCTGAAAATGGGCCTAACGGTATCCATGTGACATAGTTATTGTGAAGAGTAAATAGGATAATGGGTGTAAAGTGCTTAGCGCAGCACCCAGCACCCTTGTAAGTGCCCAGTTAAATGCTGTCTTTACTCATAGTCTATGAATGTGATGCTCTGAGTGCCTACGCACTGCCTGGCATCAGGAGGATTCTGCCCTTGTCCCTGTTGCTGTGCTAGATCTACAAAGGCTTGAGGACCACACTTCCTGAGGGCTCCCACCCCAGGGAAAGGGCAAACTGCTCTGCCACCCAACCTTTACTGAGCTCCTACTAGGTGCTGGCACTGTGCGTGCCAGTAAGACCCTGCCCTGCTGCCAAGGAACTCAGGTTCCTGGGTCCATGGTTACGTCACAGGTTGATGGGGATGGTAAAAGGGGGTGCGTTGCAGAGGGCACTGAGTGGGGGAAAATGAACTTCGGGGTGATTGTGGGTGGCTTCACAGACAGGTGAAACCATCCTCATTTGTACTGTGCATTAAAGCACAAGAAAGATTTGGGGGCAGGGTGGGTGGTAGTTTTCCCGAAGACAAAATAGCGTTCACAAAGGCCTGGAGGTAGAGAGTTTAGGCAGCTCCTCCACTTTTCCATGAACACTCAGAACAGCTCCAACTCCAGCAGAGGGACACATTTCAGGCTGGGGGACACAGAGCTGGGCAAGCTGTTCAGAGAAGGCCCCTTCTCTCGAAAGAGGCAGTGGGAGACCAGGTTTGACAAGACTGGCCACAGGATCAGGGAGCTCGGGAGGTGGCCCTTCTGCCTGGCAGAAGGAGGCTTATTTAAACAAAACAAAAATAGGAGGGTGAGGGTAGAGGAGGAAAGCAAGACCAGTCTGTGCTCTCGCTCTCCTGTGCTGGGTCAGAGGGTGAGGGTTAAGGGGGTGTACCTGGCCCCTCACTTCTGGTAGGGGCAGCAGCCTGGGATGAGGGTGCACGACGCTGAAGAGACACACTCAGCCCACGTGGCAGAGGGGCCCAGGAGCCCAGTGTTGAGAGGAGTAAAGGACCTGCTCTTCGAGCTTGGAGGGCTTCTTAATCAGTTTTACAAGAGGCCTCCATCTCCACATGTCTCTCCTCATCAAGATTCCCTGGGGAGGGAAGAGGAGAGGGGTGCCGCCGTTCAGAGAGTTTCCCCAGATCCTCATGCCTGTGGCGTTTGCCTGGGCCCTGCTTGCCTCTTGTCTTCCCAGAACCGGAGCTGTGGAAGGGGTGGGGTGCCTGCCTGCCAACTGTGGATGCTGGATATCTGTGTAGTGGGGGTGCTGGGTGGCAAGAAGCATGAGGAAGGGTTGCCATACACTTCCTAGTTTTTCCACTTACTAGCTGGGTGGTAAAGCATGTCCTTTAAGCCTCCAAGCCTCATTATTGGTATCTACAAAATGGGGCAGTAATGCTCACCATCTGTAGTCATTCTGACGATGAAATAAGATCTAGAGGAGAAATCTAGCACAGGCCTGGCAGGTCCAGTCTTCAGCTTTGACACACACTGGCCTAGATGATGTCTCAGAGAAGTGTCAGGTGAGGGGTCGGCCTTGGTGAGGTCTGTTAGCAGGTGGGTGGGTTACTAGATGAGGCCATCCATCAACCTTTGGGGATGATCTCATCATGCCTCTGCTTATAAATCCATAAAATGGGGTTAATAATAGTACTTACCTCACAAGGTTATGTGAAGATTAAATGAATTCTAAGTAACTGTGTTTGACTCTGTTAATAAATAGTGCTTAATAAATATTAGTCATTATTACTGCTTTTGTTATTCAGTTAGTTAGCTATTGAGGCAAAGTCTCAAGCCCAAGGATTTGGTTGCAGATATCAAAACAGGGGTCTAGAATGGGACTTGGCCTCAAGAGGGAGGCAGAAGACCACAGAAACCAGGGTCTAGGTGAAAGTTGGAACCTCTAGGTCATGCCAAGGCCTGGATAGGTTATCAAGTCTGGGTTGTGTGTGTAGGGGACTGCTCTGTGGCTCGTTGTAACCTGCTCCCACCCCTTCAGAACTCTCCCAACACATTTCCTGCTCGCCTTGGGTTCCATCCAGAAGGGCCAGATTAAGGTGGCGTGCTGGGGACACCTGCATCCCAGGCACCTCCCCACTGGGCTCCCACATGGTCAGGCTCAGAAAGGAGCAAGCACAGCCCTGCGGGGAGAGGTGATGTCAGAGAAGTGGAACTTCCGTTCACCTACGGCTTCAGTGGCTCGAAGCTCCTCCCTTTCTCAAGAGGGGCTGTGCTGGGAGAGGCCTTGGGGGCTTCCAGCCAGGACTGGGGCGGGAGACAGCAGCCTCCAGGCTGGCTGAGGCTCTCATCTAGCTGGCATGTGTGGTAATGACCCTTCTTACCGCAAGCATCTGTTTGCATCCATTGATGCATGGAAGAATAAGACTTTGTTGGGTCGGGGGGACCCAGACCTTTAACTCTGTCCACAATTGGGGTTATATATTCAGAGTTGTGTCTGTTGGACCAGTGGAAGGGGCAGTAGAAGCCAGGATGCTGGGGGACAGAAGGGTCCCTGAGAGAGAATTCATCACAAAGGGCTGAAGAGGTCTGGTCTTGAGGTCTGGCTGCTGTAGCATGCCTGAGGGCTGGAGGGGTAGGGGTTCTGAGAACAGGTGTGTGGCTGGTCACCAAACCCCTTGGGGGAATTCCCTGGTGGTCCAGTGGTTAGGACTCCTTGCTTTCACTACCAAGGGCCCGGGTTCAATCCATGGTCGGGGAATTAAGATCCCACAAGCCATGGAGTGTGGCCAAAGGAAAAAAAATGTACATGTTTAAAAAAAGAAAAAACTCTAAAAAAAAAAAAAAAAAAAAAAAGAAAAAACTCTTGGAACCCAGTGACATTGGTAGCCTGAGTGTCCCCGGAGGGAAAAAAAGTTTGTGTGTGTTGACTGAAAGGGTCATTTCATTTAGTCCCTAACCCTTTGGGACCAAAGCAACACTGCTGTGGAACCCCTCCTGCCTGCATCTGAACCTAACGCTGATTGAGCGAAAGTTCTTCCCACCCTGCAGGAGAATGCTGAGTACTTAGCACAGTGCCTGCTTCAAAGTAGGTGCTCCAAAATACTTGGGTAAAGTAATAATAAGATTAAAAAAGAAAAAAAACCCACCTCATTTAGTGGAGGGTTTTGTCATAGCAAATTTGCAGAGCAGTCAAGAGAGTGAAAACGCAGATCTATTCATGGGTGAGCTACTTCCTGGGGCTCTCAGATGCCGGGAGAGAGTTTGCAAAGGATTGAATCCCCCAGTTGGCAGATATTCCAGTCTGATATTGCTAGGAGCTTGGAGCTAGCGATATTTGGGTGTTGTTAGTGCCATTCACACCCACAGGCTGGTGAAGAAAGGGCTCTCTCAGTGTTTTCTGATGAAGGAAGGGTGGTTTGCCAACTGGAGAGATAGATGGAATCTAAGCAGGGGAAATGGAAGTCATTTGGCTGCACTGCTAAAGCATCACACGTTCACTGCTCACGGGGTTATTCACTTTTCCTTTCTCTTTCCTGCTAAGCTTACTGATGCACTGGCCCAAACCTGTTCATGTGGCTCTTGCTGTCTGGTCGCCCAGTGAGGAAGGATCAGCGGGCCTGCCAGCATCCAGACTATGGGAATTGTCTCTGAGGAGACTTGACAGTCCAGATAGGACACAAGGGGTTATTTCCTCTCCTCCTTTCCCATCTCCTGGTTCCCAATGCCCTCATGGTCTTCTCTCTCGCCTTCTCCTCAGCAATATAAGATCAAAGACTGTAAATTATTCATTCACAGTTGAATGGAGCACATTTCAAAGTCAGGGCTGCTGGGCATCTTGGTCTCAGAGTTGCCAAGGGTGAAGGCCCACATGTTTGGGTCCAGCAGCTCTGTCAAGTCCCGGCCCTGACATCTGGAGCCAGCCCTGCCTGATCCCTGCCCTTCCCACCTGTCTGATTTCCTCCCTGACTTTTCCCTGTCCAGAGTTCCCTGCCCCACCTTACCCCAGAGGAAACCCAGTATCAGTGTTACTGCCTCCTGCCGTGCGGGTGTGTCTGTGGCCTCCAGGGCTACTGTTCCCCGGGACTCCCAGGCTGTCCCTTCAGATGGGAGCAGGGAGCCTGCATGTTTGAGAGGAGTGCTAAGATGAGCCAAGCACCGGACCAGTAGTCGTGCTAACAACCACTACAGCAAACATTTGATGTGTGTGCCACGCGTGTCAGGCACTCCTTTTAGCACTTTTTAATGTAACATCCCTATCTCACCCATAACAACCCTAGGCGGTATATACTGTTTCTAGCCTGGTGTAACAGACAAGGAGACTGAAGCTCACAGAGGTCAAATGACTTGCCCAAGGTCACACAACCTGCAAGTAGCCAAGCTGAGATATGAATCCAAGCATCTGATACCAAAGTCCAACAATGTACCACTCTGCTAAAGCATATGCTAGTTCATTTATCCTTACACTGACCTCATGTACAGATGGGGAAACTAAGGTCTTAAGAAGATAAGTGACTCATTCTAGGTCATGTAGCTAGTGAGTGGCTGAGCCAAGATTTGTTTTCTTGTTTTTTTGGAATCTCAGTCTTTATTGGCTGCAAGGCTTCACACGCTCAGGCCAATGCCAGGGCTCAGATCTTGTTGAAAGCAGCAGTGTCAACGCTCTGCACATGCTCCTCGAACTTGGTGATCTCCTCTTCCAGCAGGTCCGTGCCCACCTTGTCGTCCTCCACCACACACTGGATCTGCAGCTTGTGGGTGCCGTAGCCCACGGGCCCCAGCTTGGAGGCCCCCCACCCCAGGTCAGCCCATCCAGCTGGATGGAGCACATGCAGGCCTCCAGCTGGGCCATGTCCGTCTCGTCATCCCAAGGCTTGATGTCCAGGAGAATGGAGGACTTGGCCACCAGGGCAGGCTTCTTGACCTTCTTCTCAGCGTACTGCTGCAGCCTTTCCTCCCGCAGCCAGGCAGCCTCCTGGTCCTCCTCCTCATCGCTGCCGAGCAGGTCAATGTCATCGTCCTCGTCCTCTGTGACGGTGACCGCCTTCCGGGTGGGGCGCTCCACTTGGCGCACGGGAGACACGTGCTGGGTCTGCGGAGCTGTGGCCGGGTGGGTGGGCGAGCTTTTCTCTAGTGCACTCAGCCAGGCCTCCAGCTTGCAGACAGCCTGCTGCAGATCCTGCACCACCCCTCGCAGGCTCTGGTTCTCCACTTCCAGGCTGGCGATCCGGATGACAAGCTCACTGTGGTCTCCACCGGGCCCACTGGAGGCCGCAGGGCCTGAGCTTCCAGCCAGGGACTTATGGATGTTTTCTCTGGCTCTTGTGACGTCACGGAGGATCACGCTGGCGCCATTCTCCTGGTGTGAGGAGCCAGCCATGGACCCGTTCATCTGCTCATAGAATTTCCTTTCTGCATCATCATATTTGAACTTGTCAAACCAGATCTTCTCGTGCACTAGAAAGTTTGTGGCCATTTTCACACCAGCCAAGGACACAGCGACCAACGAGGAGGGCTCGGCGTACGCAACGGCAGAGGAAAGAGCCTGAGCCAAGATTTGAATCCAAGACATTCTAATTCAGAATCGATGTCCTTTGTACCACCTTCCCTGAGACTGATGGGTGAGCTGACATTCTAGACACCCTTATGAAGGGAGGGATGAAAGAGACCCACTTGCAGACCCAAGGAGACTCAACCTGTGTGCTGGGTGGGGTGGGGGCCCCAGGGAGCCCTGGATGATGATGGATCCAGGGTCTGGAATTTCTTGAGCATGAATGTCAGCATATGTGTCCGTGATATGGATTCAATCTAATGCCACCTTCATTCAGAGATTCAGAAGAACTGACAAAGGAGAGAAACAGAAGCACTTCCTCTCTGAGCTGTTGCTTACCAATGAGCTTTTATCTCCAAGTAGCAGAATAATCATAACCCATAGCTCCTGCGTGTGGCTGATTAGCTTTGCTGCAAGTTTCATTTGATTACAACACGAAAGTCTGTCCCTGGCTTTGGTTGCAGCTATATGGCTGCTTGCTTACAACTGAAAAAGAGAGGTAGAGGGACCAGTAGGATCCAGGAGCATCAGATAATGAGGTTGGTGCTTTAAGAGCATGTTCATCAACAAAGACCATTTGTGTGGCCCCATCCAGTGTGCAGAGCCACTCTGTATGTCATCTTAATGGGTCATCACAGCAACCTGGGGCTTTCTTCCCATGGGGTAGTGGCCAATAGTTTCAGCCATTCACAAGGGTGGGGAGGAAGGGGAATAGGATGGAGACAGTGTTTGGTTTATATAAAAACTGCGAATGTGTGGATTGCAGGGTGTGATTTCATTTTTAAGACAAATTAAAAACCTAATCTTGTCTTGTGCTTGAACCTGAATAGTACTAATCTTATTTATGTTATTTTTGAGTGCTTGCTATGTGCTGGGCACCATGCCATGTGTTTACTCAACAGAGCAACTTTATCCAGTGGGGAAAAATACTAACCTCATTTTACCGGTGAGGAAAGGGAGGCTGGGACAGGTGGAGTGAACTGCCCCGGAGGTACAGCTGGTAAGGGAAGGAGCTAGGATGTGAAGTCAGGGAGTGTGATTCCAGAGCCTGTACCTTTCTTGCTGGGCTGTTCTGCAGGAGAGTGTCTCTCAGGGACCCTGACTTCCCACAAAGAGCCCGGTGGGCAGTGGGAATGCAGGGTCCTCTGGCAGGAGGGTCCTCTGACCCTCTAACCTGCACCTTCCTCATCTCTAAAGGAACGTTTCGTGATCCATCTCACAGGTGATTGTGGGGTAACTCCTTGCTAGCTATGAAGCACTGTTTACCTGTTCGTGGATAGGAGGCAGTGGTGAGCAGGGCAGAGGGAAATCCTTCCAAGAAGAGACAGATTTGGACAAGAGGGTACAGGTGGCCTGAGACCTGTGGCCCAGGTTTGGGACCTTAGCATATGCTTTTCCCTCTGCTGGGAATGCCCTCCCCTCCCCCCTCTTCTCATGACTGGGTTTTTAAAACTTTCAGCTGTCAGCTTAAATGTCCTCTTTTCAGAGAGATGTTCTCCCTTCCCACCCCTGGTAGACTGGCCTGAGTCCCTACCTTGGCCAGCCCTGGGAGCTTTCCCTGACTCCTCCACTTCATCCCAAACCTCCCTACAATATCCAGCCCTACCTGTGTATGAATTATTCAGGGAGAAGCTGAGGACTCATTATGGGGACAAATATTCCAGCAAAAGCCATCTGGCTGGAGAAGAGAGAGAGTGGGATGGCATTTATTGTCAGGAAGCAATGTCTCATGGTAATTAAATTCTCACACGTGTGTGTGTGTGTGTGTGTGTGTGTGTGTGTGTTGTGTGTGTGTGTGTGTGTGTGTGTGTTGGGGAGATGTGTTTAATCACTGTCCCCCTCCCAGGGTCTAATCTAGCCTGTGTCATACCAAAGTCCTGGGTCTAAATAGCACCACCCTTCCCCTGACTTGGGGGAGGAGGGGTGGTGTCGGTTCATGTTTTTGATTAAAGAAAAAAAAAAGAATCAGAGCCTCAGTGAGGTTTCATGAGAAATGGTGGGAGCAGCAGGGTCGAGGGGAGCTGATTATGTAGATGTGTTTAAGCTCTCACCCAGGGATGGATGGCTTCCATAATCCCACCGGGGGCTGAGACCCCGGCCGTGTTTGCTGGCTCAGATGCAGCTGGGGCCATTTCTCAAGTTCATGGAGGAAGGGGATGAGCAGGTGCACAGGAGGAGGGGCTGCCTGTCAGGTGAGGGTCCTGAGGGGTGGGGAAGAGTTGTGGAGGAGCCCTTTCTCTTCTGCAGCACGTACTCAGCCTCTGTCCCCACAGGTGTGTCTGCCTCTGGGCGACACTTTGTTGCACAAATGCTAACCCGGCCTCTGCTACAGACGTGCTGTGTAGCCCTGAGCTAGTCCTCTGGTCTTTCTGCTCTTGTGTTTTCAGTCTGTAAAATCGGGTGAAGCTTTGGAGATAGATGGTGGTGATAGTTGTACAGTAATGCAAATGTATGTTATGTATATTTTAACACACACACACAAATTCTAAAAGAAAAATCAGGTGAATCTGTAGTTTCCTTCTGGTCTTAATGTTCTCTGGATTGATGATCCTGGATTCAAAGAAATGTCAAAGGGCTTATCATTATTCCAAGAACAGGCTGTGTGACCTCAGCTAAGTCTGTTTCCCTCTCTGATTCCACTTCCTTTGGTGGTGGCAGAATCGCTTCTCCAGACCTGGCCAGTTGCTTCCCCTCACTCCTTAAGTTTCCTGCCATGTCTCTGAAGTTTGCCCCCTCTCCAGAGCCTGGACACCCCCTGTCTTTGGATCTCCCAGCATCACTCGTCTCAGCCTCTGGTGGCTTTTTGTAGAGGCTGAGGGGGACCTCTGCTTGGCTATTGAATGAGCCATTGAGAATTTCATGGATAATTCAGGAACACAAGTCAAACAGGAGGCTGGAAGCTCTGGATTTATGAAGAAAAATGAGTCAAACTTGGCAATATATGAGCAGCTCAGAATAGCAGCATGGTGGTGGGTGGGGAAGGCTGGAGGACTGCTCTGAAGGGTTGGGGGCACAGTTGGGGGAGGCAGATGTGCTAGTGGGGCTGGAGAGAGCATAGGGAGCCTGGGCCTTAGCACCCAGACCACTAGCTTTGTGGGAAGTTGTCTGTGCCCTGGACAAATGGACAAGTGTTGTCCAGTGAGGGGGCAGGGACTCCTCAGGCATCAGAGGGAGGGTCCAGGCCACAAATCCTAATTTGGTCTCCCTGTGGCCTGGCCTTGGCTGGGTACCCAAGAGAAGAGAGGTGAAGGCAGAGAGGGGGCACATTCTCCAGCCTTGGGGGGTACATGGCCAGAATGGAGAGGCTTAGCTGGCCTTCAAGGGGGAGAGAGAGGGAGAGAGAGAGAGACCCTCACTTGTCCAAGAGGCTTCTTTTTGAGGTTTTTCCAGTCTTCCAGGTGGGCCCCACAGTCTGAAGGTGGTGAGATACTTCACATAAATCCAATCCTAGCAGCCCAGAGGGTCATCCCAAAGGCCACCCCAAGGTCAAAGCCCCTGAAATTTTTTGGGTCCCAGTAGAGGTGGGGTGGGGTGGGAATCTGACTGGTTTTGCTCCCATGGCTGACAAGTAATGTCTTGTCCCTGTCACCTCCCCAGCATGGTTCCTCCTGGATAGTTCCACCTTCTATCCAGTTTCCTCCACTTGGGATGGACTCCAAGCATTGCATTCACAGGTACAAGGTCTAATAAAAATGGCTTATGTCTGAGGATCAGGGATGGAGAGAGTAGGGATGAGCCCCAAGTAGACACGGCTTGTCTGGGTGTCATGGAAAAAGTTCACATCACCCGTTAGGGCTCAATTGCCTCATCTGAAAAATGGGAATGGCTTTCCCTTCCATCAACCCCTCTCATATACTTACTCATACAGCTCATAAACTGTGATATGACTGAAATAAAATTATGAATGAATATGTGTTTGTAATCCTCTAAGGTGTTGTATTGAGGTGGTAGATTCTTTTATTAATTTTCCATGGGAATCAACCTCAATCACCTCTCCTTCTTGGGCTTTAGATTCCCCATGTCTGAAATGAAGAGATTAGACCAAGTCAACTCTCAGTCTCTTCCAACTTGAACAACATCTAATCCTATAACTATCTTGGTATCTCAGTTCCTGATCAACACATTCCTAGTTGAGGGTGGGGATTTAGGGTCCAGAGCTTGGAGGAGGCAGGGTTTTGTTCAAACAACCACTTAATAAAATGATTTCTAGGTAGGGGGCCTTACTGCTTTCTCTTAATCTCTTCCAAGGCCCTACTGAAGATATGACTAGATGTGTGCATTCTTCTGACTTAGATGGGTGGGACTGTCCCTTAGAATGTATTAGAAAAATTTCCCCAGAACTCAGGTTATACAATGTGGAACATTCCCATTTTAAGAACCAAAGGACGTGGAATGTAAAGGGGCTTAAAGGCTCCTGAGGTAAGGGTGAAGATGCACCGTTGACTTGGGAATCATTATTTAGGGTCAACAAATAGTTATTGAGCTCATACTGTGTACCAAATGCTGTTCCAGGTGCTTTCATATTCATTTTTCTATTTGGTTCCATAATAATCATGGGAGGAAGGCAGTGTTATTGTCTTTTGGTAGATGAGGAAGCTGAAGCTCAGAGAAGTAGAGGAGCTGTCCAAGGTCACAGAGCTGGGAGTGGTGGAGCTGGGACACAAGTCCAGGTCTATCTGATCTCAGAGTCAGAGCTTCCCCTGGAAAGTGACTTCTTATTCCAGGGTCACTTTTATGTCCATTAAAGCCACAATGTCATCTCACCATTGGTCTGTACTGATTTCTCTTTGATTGTGGTGATATTTTCCTGTTTCTTCATATGTCTAGTACTTTTGGATTATATCCTAGACATTGTGAATGATATATTGGAGAGGCTTTGGATTCTACTATATTCCTCTAAAGAGTGCTGATTTTTTGTTTTTAATTTGGCTGAACTCACACTTCAAACTTTTATCTCCTCTCTGGTGGGCAGCAGCTGAAATCTCACTTCAGTTCTGGTAATCTTAGCTGGGCTTTTTGGAGTGAAATCTCACTTCAGTTCTGGTAATCTTAGCTGGGCTTTTTGGAGTCTTCCCTGTGCATATATGTTGAAGGATCAGCCAGAGATTTGGGTAGAGTTTATATATAGATGTTAGAGCTTAATCTCTGTGGCTCTCTCCTTTCTGGAATTTCTGCCATCACTTTCAGCTGCTGTGTTCATCCACACTTTCTCTCTGATTCTTCAAGCCACTAAGGCTGCAGGTTTCCTAAAAATTGAACTATCCTGTAGGACACTGACTGTGGTCTTCCCTCAGGAGGAATCCTTTAAAAACATGAAATACACCCATTGTCCTTCTTCCAAGTGTCAATTACTCTCTGATTTCTGCCTGCTTTTTGTTTTACCAGTGTCTTTAGGTAGTTTTAA